AGCCTGGAGAAGAGAAGGCTCCAGGGAGACCTGAGAGCAGCTTCCAGGGCCTGAAGGGGCTCCAGGAAAGCTGGGGAGGGGCTTGGGACAAGGGCAGGGAGGGATGGGAGCAGGGGGAAGGGTTTCCAGCTGGCAGAGGGAGCTGGAGCTGAGATGGGAGGGAGAAATTCTGTGCTGTGAGGGTGGGGAGAGCCTGGCCCAGGTTGCCCAGGGAAGCTGTGGCTGCCCCATCCCTGGGGGTGTTGAAGGGCAGGTTGGATGGGGCTTGGAGCAGCCTGGAATGGTGGGAGGTGTCCCTGCCCCTGCAGGGGGGGCACTGGGTGGTCAGTAAACCCTGTTCTTCTTGCCATTGTGAGTCCTAAGAACATTAGGTCTCCCCAATAGATGAAAAGGAGAATTTCTGTAATCCCAGGTGACATGCTGGGCATCAAGTACTGACTTACTCAGACTTTCATTAGGTGTAACAAATGCTACAATGAACTTGTCAGATGAGTATCTACAACTAAAAGGACAAAGGAGCCAGTAGCTATGCTTTTATACATTTCTAGTGGCTTTGTTACAGTGATTTATTGATTCATTTGTTTTGAGCCTGAGGTAGAAAAGGTTACATTTACTTTTTTTCTTTCACAAATATCAAGTATATGTCCTTGCTTACAGCTAGGGGCAGCACATTTTTCACCCTTTCTTTCACCATGGTTCTGTTCACCCACCTAACATACTGGAAATGGCTTTTATCAATGTCTTTACTTGAAGGAAAGTGCTTTCGTTGCCTCAGGTGAGCTCTCCTTCCTTTTAAACATAAGCTCCATGGAATTACTTCCAAGGACTTCCACATCTCAACACTTCTCTCTCACTGTTGAGCGAGCCTGCATTAGGACAAACTGGAACAGCGTCCCTTTATTTTTTCACCATATTTGTCCCTGTTGAAGGTGCTCTGGCAGGACCCTGCTCCTGCAGGAATTAGAGCTTAGAATGTATGTAGCTATGGCAAGGAAGGAATTCTGCTCTGGAGAAGTCCTGGTATCTTTTGCATCACACTTTTTCATTTTATATTGGTCTGTTTAAAGCTTCTCAACACCCTGTTTTCCATACCTGGGCAGAATAGGTAACATTTGAGTGACAGAAGTTTAAGGTAAATTCATAGGTTTATGAATTAAAGCAGCCAATAATTTGGGTTCCTGCTGTTGATGTGCTGGTGTTCTGTTTGGTTGCAGGATGGACGCCTGACGTTTTATCCAGGGAATCAGACTGTGGGTTTGCCTTTCATAAATTTTATGAAGAGACATGGCACTGTCTTTCTCAATGCCTATACCAATTCTCCCATTTGTTGTCCTTCTCGTGCAGGTAGGACCAAGCAAAACATCAGATAAATAATTGCATGTGTCAATCTAAATGTGTGCTAATGGTGGGAAATTTCAAAAGACTAGTTTTGTTTTTAGTAAGGCCAGGCTGGTTTGGTTTGTGCCTGAATTTAAATCTTAGATTTGATCTGTTTCTCTTTTATGTTTCTCATGCTTCTTCCATTATTTTTTTCCTTTGTTCTCCTTCCAGCTACGTGTGAGCTCCCAAATCTTCATGCAGATTCCACTGTAGCTCCAGTATCTTTTAAAAATCCTCAGAATTTGTACAGAAAGTATCAGTTTATGTGCTTTGGTGCTGAAGCTGCATTCAGAACTACTCTTTCTTCCCAATACAGAGTTAATAAATATCTGTTCTTTTCTCAGGAAAAAAAGTATTACAAAAAAAAAGCTGAATAAATTGGTGGCTGTTAGCACTGCCTTCCAATGACACTTATCCCATAACTGTTAAATACATAATGTATCCTTCAGTAGCTTTAATTGAATACTTAGGTGTTTTTCTGCACTTCCTGCAGTCATCCTGTGTTCAGTTTCACACTTGCAGAATTTACTGGGAAGTTACAAGAAAGCTATATTCTTGAATTAGAGGTTATGTCTTAAAACATTTCTAGCCCTTTCACAGGTTGCAAAGACCCTCCAGAGGTGATGTAAATGAAATTTCATCCATAGTCAAAGGGGAGATCCCCCTTTCCCTCAAGCATACATTGGAAGAAGCAACCTGTCCTGCCTGCAGCAGGCACAGCTGTCAAATTTGGTGTTACTGTTCAGTTTTCTGTTTATTGATAACCTAGTCCCCTTTTCTGTTTCTCAAGGTCACATTTTAAGTGTGTGAAATTACATTAATGTGCCCTCAAGTCTTGTTTTCTTTTACTTGGTTTTTGAGCCTTTCAGCCAGAGTTTGTTTCTGAGGACAATAACCTTGTGTGAGGTTATTTAATTTTAATAAGCGTTGTGAAAATAGCAGCTAGTGCTCCCGGTGAGGAAGAGGCTGCATGATTAATTTAGCAATTCACCAGTTTTCTGTAGCATTTCAGTGGTCCACTGACATCACTGTGATGACTGGTCAGTCATCACATGAGTAGCTCTGAACCAGTGGGACACCTCTGGAGTAGCCAGTAGCTTGGGCACCTGCAAAGAGCTGAGGGTACATCTGTTGTGGAGGTGCCAGGGGTGGTCCTGAAAGAGCTGATGGGAAGGAGGACTTTGAGGTGGGGAAAGCAGGATTGCCACAGTATGGGGTTGGGGTTGACACACTTCTTGTTTATGTGACGTTTCTACTGCTTACAGACCAGCTTAGCTTGATTTTAGGACTCCCTTTGACTCTCAGTTAGCATGGGGAAGAGGGAACAATTCTTGGCAAGCTGCAGAGAAACAGGAATTCACTCATTAAAACTTTCCCTATAGTTCATTTGCAGCTCTCCCCTTGATTTAATTTCTTCTTGGCCTCTCCTCTAATAATCTTCCTTTGTTCCTACAGTGGTGAAGTAGATTACCCAAAAAGGATAGACCTGAGAGCATATAATATACTCTAATTCCCTTCACAAATGTACTTAACTTTAAATTCAAATTAAAATCTAACAGACTTATGGGGAGATAATACTCTGGAACATCAGGATCTGAACTACCCGTGGCATTTTCTTTCTGCAATCAATGAGAATATTTCCTGGTCTACAGAAAACCTGGATTTAAAGATTGCATGGTGCCTGGAAAGGTGGGGTCCTTTCTGCAATTCTAGGGATTATTTTAGTATTGATGATAAAATTAAGATTTGCAAGATTAGTACTTGTATTCCCTCCTCTGTTGGATCACAATGTGGATTTCTTACCTCTAAAATTGATCCCCTCCCAAGTATGTTCAACTTGGATTTAGGTAGGAAGTACCACTTACCCATCAAATGTTTTGTTTGTTTGTTTTCTTTTTCCTCAGCCATGTGGAGTGGTCGTTTCACACATTTAACAGAATCATGGAATAACTTCAAAGGTCTAGATCCAGGTTATGTCACATGGATGGATCTCATGGAGAAGCATGGCTACCACACTCAGAAGTATGGGAAATTGGACTATACTACTGGACACCATTCGTTAAGGTAATCAGTTTCTCCTGCTATGGAATGGACAGGAGATAATAAATCATGTCATGGTCTGGCAAGTGGTTTAGGTCTCTGGTTGAAATGGCAGTAGCTTGAATTTAAAATAAATTGTGCTCGGAACCTATTCCTGGAGCTTTGTGCAGAAGCAAGCATATCCCATGCTGGTGCACTTTGGCTTTTACCTATAGCTGGAAGGTGAACATCAAGATTCTGGTTTTACCCAACATTATGAAGGTTACTTTTGATGATTAGTTTTGCTCCCTAAGTGAAATTCCTAAACCATTTTTCCCCTTCTTTGAGACCTCCTGGCTTGATTATACTAGCAGTGTAGGAAGAGCAGAACAAAGAATCATAAGTGATAATACCTCAATGTTAAGTCTACCATCACAAAACATGAGGTGGTTTGTTTGAAGGCCAGATGTTTTCACAGACTTGTGGTGTACTTTCTGTGATGTGAACTTTCTTTAAAAAAAAAAAAAAAAGATACTAGAATTGCAGCAATTTGTGAAACATACTTAAACATTTAGAGACTAACTGCATTATGGTCAAAAAATAATGAGCATAATGTGTCTGGACAGGTGGGACAAATCATGTCTTTCTTCTGTGAAGTTTTCATGAAGATACAGTATGTCCTAATTTAGTAGTGATGTCTATTGTTGAAATAGCAATATTCATAAAGAATAGCTTTTTCTTTTATAATAAACAGGTTAGAGTTACTTTGAATTTCCTCACTTCCCTCATTAAAATGAGCAATCAGAAGTGGAAAGGTCACATTGTAGCTAATACTATGTTACATACACACTGCTTTTTATCTACAAAATACTTTGTAAATAGGATCCACTTCTGAATCTGACCTAAGTAGTAATTTCCTTTCCAGTTTAATACTGTCAAAAAAGAGAAGAAAGCTTTTTTTCCCTTTTTACATATACCAGCTATACACTGGAAGGAAAGTATTATTCAAATGCAGATTTAGAGCAAAACCTTCATGTTTACTTACTTTACCAGACGGTGTACGTATCTGTGTAGTACTTCTCTCTTGTCTCTGTCTGCAGCTCTTTGTATAACAGTGTCTAACTATGAACTGATGGTTGTTCAGCCTCTGGTCTTTTGCTTAGAATTTTTTTTTATTCTGAAATGGCATTATTCTGAACCATTATTACCTTTTCAAAAATTATTATTATTTTTTCCAGTAAAAAACAATTATCTGTACAATGCACTAAAAAGTGATCTGCTATTATATTGTTCTGATTCTTTGTGCTTGCTTACATGAATGTTGGGAAAATTTCCTCTCTGGCAGGAAATTAAATTAACTATTAAATATTAAAAAGAATCATAGGATCACAGAATCATAGAGTGGTTTGGTTTGGAAGGAACTTTAAAGAGCATCCAGTCCTACCCCGTTGCCATTGGCAGAGACACCTCCCACCATTCCAGGCTGCTCCAAGCCCCATCCAACCTGCCCTTCAACACTGCCAGGGATGGGGCAGCCACAGCTTCCCTGGGCAACCTGGGCCAGGCTCTCACCACCTTCACAGCAAAGAATTTCCTCCTCATGTCTAATCCACATCTAATGCTTACAGATGTTTGAATTACTGTCACATAGAGGTGGTTTGTTGTGACTTCCTCAGGCACTCATGCTGTTCAAAGGAGCATAGTCTAGACATCACACTGTAAAGTGCCAATACTACCATTATTTGAGAAGGCTTTGTTCTATGTAATGAAGCAAGACAGAAATTATTCTGTGGATGCATCATTCTTAAGCATTTCTCTAATAGATTTTCAGTAAGTGAAAATTACTGTGAAAAAGGAAAATTAGCTACAGTGTTGTACAGACTCTTATGCTTTTCTTCTGACTTGTGTGCAGAGAAAATTCAGTGTTGTCTAAGTGGTATTCACTCACCCTGCACTTCACTGAGATGAAGAAATGTTAAAATGTGTTTATCTCTAACCTAAAGTCACCCCAGGTTTAAAGAAGAGCAGCTCTAAGTAATTCCAGAAGTTCCTGGCTGTTTGTATGATAGCTGGAACACAAAGGTGGCACTGAAAAAACAGTTGGTTGCATAGAAGCGGCTGCATTCCAGAAGTCTTGTTTTCATTTGCCTGAACTGAAGATTGGAGGTGAATTCTAGCTTCAGGACAAAGGCCTTCACACAGGGAGTGCAAAGCTGAACAAACAAAGATTTAGATTAGACCTTGGGAAGAAGTTCTTTACACTGAGGGTAGTGAAGCTCTGGAACAGGTTACCCAGAGAGGTGGTGGAGGCCCTGTCCATGGAGACATTCAAGGTCAGGCTTGATGGGGCTCTGAGCAACCTGATCTAGTTAGAAAGGTACCTGTGCACTGCAGGGGGACTGGGCTAGGTGGGCTTTGAAGGTCCCTTCCAATCCCACACATTCTGTGATGCTGGAGTTCTATGACTGTGTGATTTCAGAATAAAAATTGAAGCTTTACAAAATTAACAGTACAATTTAGCCCTTAGTCTCATGAGGCTGAATTCTTAGGCACTTCAAAGCTAACAGAAAAACACTGGCATCTATGGTGTTGCCATTTTTCGTTGCCTTTTGTCCTTGGCCTTTATCCTACTGTGCAAATTTTGGGTACATTATTTCTAACTTCCACTTCAGTGAGAGTTTGGGACCTGTACTTAACAGGATCAAGCCCTTATTTTCATTTGAAAAGGTGTGGGTAGGAGCTGAGAATAAACAGAAATAAACAGCATGGTTAATCAGCCTTACACAGGAAGAATTTGAATATGGCAATTTACAGCAATTATAATTTAAAAAATGAAAACTGCAAATACAATTTTTCAGTCAGAGAAAAATGTACCTTTCATTCCTAGCATGGCATCTGTGTAGACATTTTAAAACCTTAACTAGCTGATTAAATAAATAACACAGAAGAGTTAAAAGGAAGGTTCCTGTTCATTGTGGAGCTAGTTTAAAAGTCCCATTGATTTAATTTCTTGTTAAAAAGGAGACTTGAGAGGGGATATAGAACAGTTCAGTTAGCAAGGGATTCAGTGAATCATTCTTTAGGAACTTTCCTTAAGCACGTGTATTTTTTTCTTCAAACAAAACCACCACTGCTCCCCCATCCTATATTTACCTAATAAAAAAAAAATTGTTAAATTTCCTGCTGCAACATTTGTGTGACTTAAATTTATTCCGCTTTGTCCTAACCTGTTGCAAATCGTGCATTGCTAACACAAATCATCTCTGTAACCACAGAAGTTTCCTGGTCTTAAAAATTCAAATACATATTCAAATACAGTAAGTATCTATTTGAATGTGACCTACTCATAACTGTCTGTGAAAAATGTTTCATTATAGAAGTGTTTTCTTTTTTCCCTTTTTCATTTCTCTACACTCCTCTCCTCTGTTATTCTCTTTTCTTGATAGCATTTTGCCGCTTGTATTGAAAGCAATTGTACAAGATAAGTCACTTCTAACAGACTCTTGTCATGACTGATAGTGTTTTAAAATGTTTTAATAGTACAATCCAAAACCAGAATATTATTTGTGAAAGCAGCCTCTCCAGGCAAGTTATTTCCCACAGGACTTCTTCAAATCACAAAAGTCGAAGGCCCTCTTTACCTCTTTACCTCTTTACATGGGAATCTATGCCAGAATGGAGAGCAGGGTAAATAAGATAAGAGAAGCTATTTCTAAATACTGTTTTGTAGCTGTGAGAAGAACCTTTGTTACATGAGGTTATAATAAATAAAAAGAAGACTCAGAAACAAACAAACAAACAAAAAAGCTAAAGCTTCTAGTATAAAATAAATGCACGATAGCTGTTGATCAATTTAAATAGATTCTCCTTTATGTAGAAATTACAAACAGGTTGGCAGCTACACATATAGGGGAAGTTCTTCAACAATTCTTAACTCTTTTGGCTTGGGAGAAAAGGGAAGAAAACATTTTCCACTGGGTGTGTATCTTGTGTCTGTGTTTTCAGTAACCGTGTGGAAGCCTGGACCAGAGATGTTGACTTCCTGCTCCGGCAAGAAGGGAGGCCCATGGTAAATCTTACTGGTGACAGGAAGCATGTGAGAGTGATGGAAGCAGATTGGCAGAATACAGATAAAGCAGTAAATTGGATAAAGGAAGAAGCCAGTAACCTTACTCAGCCCTTTGTTCTTTATTTGGGACTAAACTTACCACACCCATACCCCTCACCCTATGCAGGAGAAAATTTTGGAGCCTCTACATTTTTAACATCTCCCTATTGGCTTGAAAAGGTATGTTAAGATGAAATTGAAATACAGATTTATTTATAACTGTACTTATTACCAACAGCATTATATTTGTCATGTGATTTTTCAGGTCAGACCGAGTTTTGATGTTAGGAGTACACGGTAAGAAAGTACTTAGATAAGACATTAGGTAAAGAATGAAATTGCTGTTCTACCTAGCTGTAGAGTTATTTTGGTAATGGACTGAAGTTCGTTGTTTGTAACATTCTATACTGTGTTGGTTGTAAATGATGCTGTAAGTAATCATTCTGTGTGAGTTTTGTAGTAAAAGATTGACTTTTCCTACAATACAAACCTAGAACACAAGGTAGTGAGACGCAGCAGGAGTGTCTCTCTCTTCTGTTAACTTCTTCCTGTGCTACTGTAGCTTTTCAATGTTTTTAGAGTGCAGAAAAGTCCCGTTATGTCCATATGTGGAAAGCTAACAGATAGCACTCCATTCCAAAGAAGTAGTAAATATTTTTTCTTCTCTCTTGTGTGGTCTCCATGTGCCATTATTATATGTTATAAAAATATAAATGGGTTACAGCAGATTTCACTGCAGAAAGGCCTAAAGTTTCGCTGCAGCTGGAGAACTAAGAATTAGGTTAGAAAGGAATTTATGCTTACTAAAAAAAAAACAGACATAGGCCCAGACATTTTTATAAATCTTTTAGCCTTTTCTTCCGGGGAACTGCAAAATCCATGTCTGGATGCAACAAAAATACTAAGACTGAAAAAAAACACAACTATATACAAATGAAGATTGAGAGATGTGAATTTCTTTGTAATAGTGAGCGGTGTGGGGTTTTCTGGGAATGGTGAGAAGTTTGTGGGAAGAGGAAGAACCTCTCACAGGGGAAAAACCTGTGTTTGCATACAGTAAGGTCGGGCTTGGATTTTAATGAAGACTTTTTAAGGTGCTAATTTCTAGGTTGGACATGTCTTGGGAAGTGCTAGTACCTTTTTTTCAAGTCACAGAGTTCCAACATCTCTGAGAAATTTTTGTCATCCTTAGTCCAGTTGGAGTACTTAAACTCCATAGTTTGCTGAGGTCCTTTCCACCACTGCAGCACTCATGTGAACCACAGATTACCATTTATTGACCATTGGCTGATTCTTCTGGAATGTATCCATGTTTTGGCCATGGAATAATGGCAGAGATCAATCCCATGAAAAAGTTTGAGTGCATAGTTGAAGAACAGAATTTAAATTTACTGATGAGCTAAACCAGAAGGGAATATCAACACAGTATGTGTGTGAAACTCTGTGTTGCTAAGCAGATGGTCCCCTGCATTTTTCACAGCCTGGCACTCTTTCAGGACATGTAGCTTCTTTCCTATGAACTATGACAGGCAGACAAAGGGATTATAACTGAATTCTTAAAACTTGGTGGTAGACCTGTAGAAAAGGGTTCAGTCTTCTGACAAACCATGGATGGAGAGGGGCACTTTTTGCTCCCATTACATCTTAAGCAACTAATAAACACCACTTGAGGCATCTAAAATGTGATTTTATGTAGCCAAGGACCTTCAGCAGCAGGAAGATGACTGAAGCAGTTGTCTACCACTTTTTATTTTCCATGTTTTCTCCTTGTTGCGTGTTTTCTCTAAGGCCTAAGAAAACTTAGGTTTTGTTAAGTCTTTTTGACTGTTACAAAGCTGGGGTTTTTCCCTGTGAGCACTTTAATTCTAGCTGTTTAAATATATCTGCTAGATAACTAAGGGGAGAATGGTGACTGTTGTGTGAGCTTGAACTTTGTGGGTATTGGAACATATGGCCATGACAGCACTGGTGGTCAAAGATACACCCTGTGCTTGAGAGACAGGCACAAACTGCACTAGTAGCTCCCCAGACAACTCTTAGAAAAAAAAACAGGGTTGATAACTTCAATTGCTGCACCAATACACAGGGATGTAATGCTTCTGGGGGCAGCTTTGGTGTGATAGCATTTGTGCTGCATGCAGCCCCTGGACGGTGTCTTGGTTACTTGATCAGGAACCAGTGCTGCCCTTGGTGGGACAGGGGGGAATGGATTAAAACTGTGAGAGGGGAAATTTAGGTGAGACATTAGGAAGAAATTCTTTGCTGTGAGGGTGGTGAGAGCCTGGCCCAGGTTGCCCAGGGAAGCTGTGGCTGCCCCATCCCTGGCAGTGTTGAAGGGCAGGTTGGATGAGACTTGGAGCAGCCTGGGCTGCTGGGAGGTGTCCCTGCCCATGCTGTGGGGGTTGGATCTAGATGATCTTTAAAGTCCCTTCCAACCCAAACCATTCCATGACTCTGTGATTCTGTAAGTGTGACTGTCCAGGCTAAATGTACTTGTCCATCCTTGGGGCTCTGAAGCTGGTACTGCAGCACACATTATCTGTGAGCATGCCAGTTTGAATATACAAATCCAGTATGATTTGTAATTGATTTGCTTCTCCTTTTTAGGTGCACACTGATTTTACACTTCTTTATAACTAAATGGATGGACATCTTTAGAAACAATTAGAAAAGTGTTAGAAAATTGGACTTTGGGGATTTTTTTTTTAAATCAGGATGTCAAGACTTGGCATCCACCAGACCCAGTAAATGTGTTGTTCTGCAGGCTCACATGATTCTGATTCCCCATGATTCTGGTACCTATGGTATATGGTCATCCTGTAGTTAATGAGATACTGTGCCAATACTTCTGTATTTGCTCTACAGTTTTAGAACATTGTTCTGCAGTATCTCTCTTAAAATAAAGGTAAAAGTTGGAAAGTACATGTTTCTGGCTCCCAGCTTTAGTTTCCAGCTGATTTTTGTATCTCTCTTAAAATGACTTGATACCTGTGGAAGCAGAGGGCAAGTATGGAGGAGGCAGCATCACTATGTAACAGACAAGCAGGTAGCATTTCTTGGATCACAAACTGAGAACTGTGAATTTATGCTTTAAAGTTTTACATTAAATCTGTTTTTTAACAATTTTGTTTAATATAGTTGCTAAACTAATATTAATTTCCTCTTATTTTTAGGTAACTTATGAAGCTATTAAAATACCCAAGTGGTCTTCTCTTTCAGAGATGCATCCAGTAGACTATTACTCATCTTACACCAAGAATTGCACAGGAGAGTTTACAGAGCAAGAAGTGAGAAATATTAGAGCATTTTATTATGCTATGTGTGCAGAGACAGATGCCATGCTGGGTAGGTGATGCTTCATTATGCAGTGAGTTTTCTTTTTCTGATTTCTTCAAAAAAATGCTATTAAGGCAGCTGTTCTGGGGGGAAAAAAAAACAATTTCAGATCTGGGAGGAAGTCACAAGAATCCTGCTTAAGCAGTCTGTCTGTTAAATAACTGGATACCTTTTAAGGCTGTTGCGAGGTGAATTCAGATAACTCTTACAAATAATCACCACCAGTCAGAGATCCTGTACAAAGACCACTAGATGAAACAAAATGTTGCTTGACCCATGTGCAATGGGACCTCAATACTCTTTGACTAAGTGTTAACTGAAATAATGGAAACAAATGTGGAGGGGACACACTGGCAAAGCAAAGCTAGATGGAAAGATAAATTTTAGGGCATAAGCAGTTTCCATGGAGATGGATTTCAAATGCATAGACTTGGTGTATGACTGAACAATAAAGTTACCCTTGAGGTCTGCCTCAGCAGCATATTATTTCAAGTTAAGAGGAAGAGGAAAAAAAAAAATTAGACATTCAGAATTCTTCTGAAAGGAAGAATAGGAAGGTCTATGTACATAAAAATTATAGTACAACTTGTTCTTCGTTTACGGTATTTATTTCTTCATTTGAAAAGTGACCATGAAAGGACAAGAATTTCCTTGAATTCTAATAGGAAATTAATTAATAACTGAGCTGATCTTTCTAGCAGTGTTAGAATGAAAAAGTAATGTAAAAGACATGGAATTACTCTTCTATGTTTTATGAAAGAAAAACAGGAGCGTGACAGTTTTAGGGAATGAAGGTATTTCAAAGTGTCTAAGTTTTAATTTGATAAAGTATTTTAAGTTTTTTAGCTAATCTTTTTAAGTAAGAATCATCTTAGTGTTTCAACATTAAAGGTGCTGATCTGGTCTTTGTTGCACAAATATTTTTGCATTCTGTGGGGGTGTGGGCACAGGAAGGAGAGACTTTGCTGATGATGTGTGAGGTGGATGCTGTCAAGAATCCTTCACCCTAAATACAGTGTCAGGGCTTCTTCTGACCTATGTTACTGCTGTTGAAGTAACTATTACTAATTATGATAGAAATTAAACAGAATTGACAGTAGAGAAAATAAGCTTGTCTTGTTGAAATGTTTCTGGTTGTTGCTCAGTGCCCTCTGCTCTTCAGGGCAGCCAGAGCCCTGCAGCTCGTTGCTGACTGTGCATTATTCTGGGCTGAACACTTTGGGCTCTGCCTCCTTGGAAGAAATATTTTTATATTTGATCCTTTTCAGTATCTTTTTCTTGTTGCAGGTGAGATTATTTCAGCTCTGAGAGATACTGGGCTTCTTAAAAAAACAATTGTGATATTCACTGCAGATCATGGAGAACTTGCTATGGAGCACAGGCAGTTCTATAAAATGAGCATGTATGAAGGAAGCTCCCATGTTCCTCTGCTAGTTATGGGGCCAGGTGTAAAAGAGCAACAGCAGGTACCAAATCTGGTATCCCTGGTGGATATATATCCTACTATGCTTGGTGAGTTAAGTCGTCTCAGGTGAGGTTTTTTCCCCTAGTTGTTGATGTTATTATTACTGTGCATTTGTATTGTAGTCAGAATTATGTCTCTACTTTGTGAGGCAGTGCAGTAGCACAACAGGAGATAATTTATTTGTGAAGCATGCACACAGGCTTAATGCAGAATTTGAAAAATGGATGTAAAAATTAAATAAAGGAGCTGATGATGTTCCTTATTACTGTTGCTGTCATCAACACAATTAAAGTGAGTGATGATCTGTAGGATGGTTATTAAAAAAACGAAATAAAAACCAAATAATCTGATGCAGTTTAGATATGAATAATCCTTGCTAGCCTTCATACCTAACAGTTTGTTGTAGAAATTAGAGTGTAAATGCATTCAGAGATCAGATTAAACCTGAATGGATGGCAGCTTCATTAGCTTATCAAAGGAATGTCCTTTATGAAGGGTCATGTGGAAGAAACAAGATAAAGACTTTCTGTAGGAAATGTATAATTATCTGGACAAGCATAATAAGATACAGTAATGGAAATCTGTTCTTAGCTTCTTTGATATGCAAATATTCATTATGGGGCAAATAATCAAATCGAAAGGATTGACATCAGACTACTTACACACAGATGGAAATTACCTTTAAGAGTGAATTTTTGAACAGTTAACCTGTGATAAGACATACAAGAGATTAATCTCACTGGAGCTAAACATAAGGTGAAGTCACCATTCTAGGCTCCCTCTGGGATCTTTTAGGCCACTGATCAGAAAAAGGTTCTTTTCAAGGCAGTCTGCAAACCTCATTCTTTAAGGAGTTGCACATACACTGCAATCACCTGAGAGAACATAAAAACTTTTCTAGATGTACAAAGTAATCTGCATTAGATATGGTTCTTATGTAAGTTGTGTTACCATATCTAAAGAATGAAAAATATATTTTTTTCTTCTTTGTGCCTTTTCCCCAGATAACATCATTGATCAGGTGGTCTAACATCCTTCCTTCTTTGTTTTTTCCTCCTTTTTTTTTTTTTTTCTTTCTTTTTTTTTTCTTCTTCCCAGGACTTTGTGTTTATAAGTCCTTTCCTTCTGTTCTGGCAGTTCTCCCTTCCTGTAATCTGAATGTCAAAAAAGGCACATGCATGAAGATGAATGTGAAAACAGGAAGAATCATCTCTGTCATCTCTTGTCTCTTCAGGCAGCATGCTGCTGCTGGCTAGTGAGGAAACAGACTTCAAGTCCTTTTCATGATAAATGTAATTGCTTTGCTTTGCATTGTCTCATGACAACAGTCTCTCTCAAGACAAAATGCTTTGCACAATGCTTCTTCCATTATTGACTTGAGATGAGGTGCACCCTATGGCAAGCATGGTACAGATCCTTTCATTCCAGCAGAATCCATCTGATATGGAAAATTCAGCCAGGAGTGAAATAGCTCTTGCATGTTTTAACATGATTTTTTAACAGTTTTCCTCCAGACAGCACTTTGTTTGCCTGGATGGAAGTACCTTTGGCTCTCTATTGGAAAAGCAGGAACTCCTGCAGGTGCCAGCCTGGGTCATTCTTTGCATGTGGATGTGCATGCAGTTATTAATGGGTTTGGAATTACATAAAAGAAAGGCCTATATCCCTTTTATTTTTTCAAATGCTGTATGTGTTACTTCAAGTTCTTAGCCCACACACTGGAAGCTGTTGGGTTTACATGGCACAGGTTGTCCTAGTGCTTAGTCAAGTGCTGGCCTTCACTAAGGCTTCACTAAGGGCAAGTCATGCCTGACCCGTCTGGTGGCCTTCTACAACAAGGCTACAGAGATGGTGGATAGTGGTAGAGCAACTGATGTCATCTCCCTGGATTTGTGTGAGGTGTTTGACACTGTCCCACATGACATCCTGATCTCCAAACTGACAAGGCATGGATTTGACAGGTGGAGCACTCAGTGGATAAGAGATTGGCTGGATGGCCCCAGCCAGAGGGTTGTGGTCACTGGTTCAGTGTCCTTGTGGAGGCAGGTGATGAGTGATGTCCCTCAGGGCTCAGTACTGGGACGAGTGCTGTTCAACATCTTTGCTGAAGGCACAGACAGTGGGACTGAGTGTATCCTCAGCAAGTTTGCTGATGACACCAAGCTGTCTGGTGTGGTTGACACCCAAGAGGGAAGGGATCCATCCAGAAGGACCTTGACAGGCCGGAGAGGTGGGCACTGCCAACCTCATGGAGTTCAACAAGGCCAAGTGCAGAGTCCTGCCCCTGGGTCAGCACAACCCCAGGCACAAACACAGGCTGGGGGAGAAGGGCTGGAGAGCAGCCCTGAGGAGAAGGAGCTGGGGAGGGAGGAGATGAGAAGCTGGACATGAGCCCCCAGTGTGTGCTGGAGCCCAGAGGGGCAGTTGTGTCCTGGGCTGCATCACAGGAAGTGTGGGCAGGAGGGCCAGGGGAGGATTCTGCCCCTCTGCTCTGCTCTGCTCTGCTGAGACCCCTGCAGGGCTGGGGCCAGGCTGGGGTCCCCAGCACAGGAGGGACATGGAGCTGTTGGAGAGAGGCCAGAGGAGGCCCCGGAGATGCTGGGAGGGCTGGAGCAGCTCTGCTCTGGAGCCAGGCTAGGAGAGTTGGGGTGTTGAGCCTGGAGAAGAGAAGGCTCCAGGGAGACCTGAGAGCAGCTTCCAGTGCCTGAAGGGGCTCCAGGAAAGCTGGGGAGGGAGTTTTCATCAGAGAAGACAGTGATAGGACAAGGGATAATGGTTTGAAACTGAGAGAGGGGAGATTTATGTGAGATATTAGGAAGAAATTCTTCACTCTCAGGGTGGTGAGGAGCTGGGATGAGTTGCCCAGGGAGGTTGTTGATGCCACATCCCTGGAGGTTTTTAAGGCCAGGTTGGACAAGGTTTGTGTAGCCTGGTCTGGTGGTTCCTGCTCATGGCAGGGGGGTTGGAACCTGATGGTCTTTAAGGTCCCTTCCAACCTTCATGATTCTATGATTCTGAGGTGGTACCAAGGAGCTTATTTAAGGTACAGTATCTTCTAGGGGCTATCTTAAAGGCTGTAGGGTCATCCAGTGTTTACCATGTGTCCACTCCATTGATCCCACTGCTGGTACCACCTTTAACTCCATCTCTGCAGAGAAGTGAATGACCCTGTTCCTGTTCCTCAATTTCTGCACTGGTTTTAGGTGATAACCCTAATGGCCACCTCTTGCAAAGTGTTTTGTTATTCTCTGGTAAGTATGCTAGATAAGACCTAAGCACTGCTATCATGAAAGAAATGAAAGGTTAGGATATGTTGGATATGGAGCTTTTAGGGTCCTTTCATGCTATGAGAATCCCTTCTGCCTGGGGTGGTCAGAGCAGAAGAGAAGGTTATAAAACCATGATTAGAAAAAATAAAGAGGCACTGGCTATCACCAGCAGTTTTAACAAACGTAGGTTAAAGATTTACTTGGACGTAGCTGATGGTGCCTCTGATCAAGATGGTGGGCAGCTGACCTTGGAAATTCCTCAAGGCTTTTTCTATTGTTTGTGGTTTTTTGTGTTCCTGCATTCTACAGTGCAAATTAATTAGGAATGCATGTTTTATTACTGAAATAGAATTTATGTTCTGACACCCGTAGCCTTATCTTAGGGCTTTTCAATCACAGCATTTTGACTTGCTGTCTCTTTCCTTAGATATAGCAAGAATTCCCATCCCCCAGAACCTCAGTGGGTACTCTCTCATGCCACTGCTGAGTGGAGAGACTGGACATGAGGTGCCAGCCAGGGAGGCTCGGCCCTCCTGGGTGCTGAGTGAGTTCCACGGGTGCAATGTGAATTCTTCCACATACATGCTTCGGACCGGCAAATGGAAATACATCGCCTACTCCGATGGCAATTCAGTCCTTCCACAGCTCTTTGGTATGTTACAGCTGCTGTGTCCTACCTCGTTCATTTATTTACAGGCTGATTCACTCCTAACGATCTTCTTTTGTTTGTTCCAGACCTTAGTGCTGATCCAGATGAGCTAACAAGCATTGCTGTAAAATTCCCAGTAGTTGTACATTCCTTGGACAAAATGCTGCGCTCTGTAGTGAACTACCCAAAGATCTCTGCTGCTGTTCAGGAGTATAACAAAAGGCAGTTTATCAGCTGGAAACAAAGCTTGGGTCAGAATTACTCAGATGTTATTGCCAACCTTAGGTGGCATCAGGACTGGTTAAAGGAACCTAAAAAGTATGAGGATGCAATTGACAAGTGGCTTGGTCAAAGTAAGTAAACAAAACCAAACTGGATTTAATATGACTGGGGATTTGAAAGCACTTCTGCATTTGTAATACTGCTGTATTTCCAGTGTTAGCATTACTGCCTTAGGTAAGCTGTTGAAAGCAAAGATGACCAAGCAATTACTGTGTTGTGTTAGGAAGCCAGAAGCATTTTATATAACTGACCAGTGCAACAAATCTAGGTTTTTATGTGTTCTAACTCTGTGATACATAAGTATGCATAGGAAGGCTAGTACATCAGTATTAATTGCATGTGTGGAGTATTTAGCTGGTTGCTAAAATGCAGAGTAATCAAGCGTTAGAGCTCAATGGGAATTCCCATTTCTAAGGGCATACTGAAGTGAGGATTATAAAGTTTAGTGTAGTGAAATGTGTTGGAGCCTGCTTTCCATCACAATGGATTTTAACTCCACAAGGAGTGCACATTCATTCACCTTAGAGAGGCTGTAACAGTTAAAATACAATCAAAAAGCTAACAACTAGTATTGGCCTGAACATAGGTGCAGTTTCCTAAGTACTTACTACATCAGAATTCCTGTTTTATACATGATTGACTCTTTTGAGATCTTTCTTGAAGCCTCTTGATTAGGATCTGGCACTTGTCGTTCCTTGACATTTAACATGTCGTAACATGCATTATGTGTGAGCAAGTGAGGAGGAATCTGGTCTCTGGTCACTGTTAGAAATTAAAAAAACAAACAACAAACAAAACAACAGACCCCTCTGACCCAACCTGTGAGTAGAGCAGTTCTCTGAAAAGTGTAGTGTAATTTGCAGAGAAAACTGCTTGAATAAATGTCCAATATGGGATTGGATTCTGCAGATAAATGTTCTAATGTGCATCAGCGAGTGGAGAGCTGCGACTTGCAGCCTATGCACAGGAGTTGCAATTGAAGCTTGCAGAAGGAGTTAGCATTAAAAAAAAACCCTATTTTACGTTTTTCCAAGGATCTGATTTAAAAAACAAAGCTGTTTTGGAAGAAGGTAAGATAGAGCTAGTAACTGTTCTGCTAAAGGAAAAATGTTGCAGTTTATATTTGCTTATTCTTCAACACAGTTGTTGCTGCTACAGTAACAATCCAGGATGGCTTTATGCTTCAGACTAAATGCTTTCTGGAATCTGTAATGAAATACTCAGCAGTAGCAGTAAGCCAGTAAAAATAAACATTAAAAATACATGTATTTTCTCATGGCTAGGCACTCCATGTGCATTTTGTAAACAACTTACCACTCAAGAATTAGGGTACGTAGTTATGGATGTTTTAGCTACTTTATATTTTTGTGTCCACAGGACATTGAGGCTAGTGTTACACTAATTGCTGCTATGGTAACATTTTTTCCCTTTGGGGTTGTTTTATGGGGTTTTTTTGTAGGCAAGGAACAAATTAATAGTTAAAAAAAAAAAACTTAAAATGCTGTGGCGTCATAATTCTTGCTAAAATGAGTTCAGATAGAAATAAAATCACTTAAAGAACACATCTTAGCAGTCTAATGTAAACCCCCTGCTTAAGTAGAGAAAATAAAAATATCCACATTAAGGCACATTCAGTGGGGAGGAGAATAAATGAACTGATCACTTCCCAGAACGCAGTACAGTTATGGTGTACTTGGATGTATTTTGATTGTGGGGTTTTTTGAGTGACTGAATGCTTGAAGAAATTACTAGGGAAAGCTGTATTCTGTCAGTTCTGTGGACACAGTGCTGTCTTTCTTTAAAGACATGAGCTTTTATAAACAACTTCTTTGCAAGTGTTAGGCTCACAAAAGTGCAGTTAGTGATACTTTGTGAAATGGAAGAAGAAGCTGGAAACAGAAACTTCTCACTGTAATCCCTTGCCACAGAGTGTCCCGGGAAACCCAGTGCACAGTGGCAGGTTTCCACATTCCTGCAGGAAACTCCAGGAATGTGCCAGCTCACAAAGCAGGGCTTGAATCTTGGGAGGCAGGGATGCTCCCTCACAAGGTGACTGCAGCATGTGAGCCAGCTGGTAGCAGGTTGGGGTTGGAAGCCTGTCAGTGTGTCTAGTCTAGCACTTCTTTTTGTATCTGGTCTTAAAATTCTTATTTAAAAAGAAAATACTGATTTATTGTTGAAAGCAGAATTTTTACTTTTTTCAAGTTATTTCTTGTTTGTCTGTGAGCCTCTGTTCTGAAGAGTTAAGAGAGATGACAAGCCCCCCGATGCTTTCCTGCCTCCCTTTGCAATAAACAATCTACCTGTGTTGGTTTGGAACTGAGGTAATTTGAATTCAAAACAGATACATTTAATAGTGTGGTCATATTCAGTTACTCTGTCTTAGCTGTGGTAATTATGCATTATGGTAATGTGAGTCAAATAAGGTTTGCAACATGCAAGGTGGGCCAGCTAACAAAGGAAAAAAATCTGGTTTTCAAGCAGTGTTAACATTGAAGAAACACTATGGAGTGAAAGGCAGAAGGGAGCAGGCTTGTCTGATCTTATTTTAAGCAAGCTGTGGAAATAAGAGTCCAGATAAAATTACTCTTAAGTTAGGTTCACAACTGGCTAAAATCAAACTCAGTAGTAGATACCAAAAATTAAACAGTGGGAAGGCCGATCAAATAAGGTCTGCATGAATTTTATGTAGCACTGTTTGGTACTTCTCTACTAAGTCACTGGAATGCAGGAACGGGCACTTTTTTGATAATAAGCATGAGAAGGTGCTGTCAGCACCTCTGAGGGTAGGTAGGGTCTTAATTAAAAAGTTAATTCAGATAATGGAAAAATTCTCTAAAATCAGTCAGGTAGGATTCATCATGAATTAGTTTAAGGTCAAAATAAAAGGGAAAGGGAAAAATATTACAAACAGCAAACTGGTTAGGCTGCAGTTCCAGCAGTTTTGCAGGGGAAAAAAGCCCCCCACACCTGGAGATTTTAGACAACCAGAAGCAATGCATGAATCAACAGCACGATGTGGTGACAAAGGAAACAAGTGACACTGAAGGGTTAAATCAATATGAAAAAGGCTCCTGTAAGAGCCCAGCAGGCTGCCACTGAGAGCAGGGAAAGAAATGTCTCTGTCTTTCAGTAAGGGCTGCTCTGATGAGCTGTTTGGAGGAAGAAAAAGGATAATAAACAATAGTTCTCCAGCCTGACTGGAGAAGCTATCTCAAGTCTGTCCCTGGAATACATTAAAAATAAGCAGAAAATACTTGTCAAGAGTGGCCAAAGTATGTGTGATCAGGGAGGCAGATCAAAAGCCCCTAGAGTGCTCTTCACAGCCTGTTTCTGCATGCTGGGTGGGGATTTAAGCCTCTCTGCTATTTATTTCTTACTGAGAAAGGTTCAGTCCCGTTTACACAGCACAGTTTCACCTTTACCCACCTTAAGCAGCAGCAGTGATGATGGGCAGACGTGAGTTACTGTGATGAGGTTCTCTCAAAGCATCACACGAGGTCGCTGTTCTCAGAGTGATGTTGGCTTCCAAGAAAAGTCACCTTAAGCCAGAATTCCTAGGAGGAAGCTGGTCACAGTTGAGGTGGTACAGCTGCCTGTCAGACAGCACCAGGTACCTTTACAGGTAACCCCAGCACAGCACCAGCACCCACCAAGAAACAGTTTTGATACCTGATACCCATAGACAAGAGTGGAGTGTAGAGAAAAGATCATTGGGTTGGTTGGTGCGAGCCAGAGAAGAGAACATGGTTACAGTGAGCCTGGAGTATTGTGTCACTGAGCCTGGGCTGATTTGTCACCCAGAAAAAAGGCAAGAAAAGGCCCTGCTGAAGAGCCAGTGAGACCCTGCAGGCATAGGAGCTTTGTCCTGACCTGACCTCCCTCATTCCTCATGTGAGCAGTGCTACTGAGAGCCTAAATGCACTCACACGCTGCAGACCCTGTGAGCTGAGAACCCCCACTTTCAGCTTGCTCTGGAAACAGACATTGCTGTCAGAATGCTCTGCAGCCACCAAAACCTGCACAGGCAGCCACGCTGCTCCCCACACCAGTACAGGAAGGGACAGTGCTCCACTAGGACATTTCTGCACCCGGACAACTCTCTGCAGATAGGCAGATGATACAGGGCTGTGCTGGTGTCCTGATGCAGAGATGTCCCAGCAGAGAGATGTCCTGGCAGAGAGCTGGTGGCAGAGAGTTGTCCCACAGATAACTGGTGATGGATAGTTGTCCTAGACCCCACAGGTAGTACCTGCATGAAAACTACAGCCGGGGTCTTTGGGGAGAAACAGCTTCACACAATCACAGCATCAACACATTCTACTTTGTGCTCAGGCACTCAGAGCCCCGGAGGGTGTTGATGGGGCTGGGAATCCACCTCAGCAGCCAGATCCAGGTACACAGGTGAACCTCCTGCTCCATCAGGTCGGTCCCTCCCAAGTCCACTAGCAGCATCTGGCACAACTCCCTGTCTCTGCTACCTGCTCTGAGGTTGGTCAGTCATTCCATTCAGGTGAGCCATCACCAACATGCTGAGGGTGTTAATACACTGTGCACACCAGCTGTGACCAGTCCTAGAGAAGTGGAGCTCATGTTACAGAAGAATGAAGGTTTGGTTTAATTTATTGTGTCAACGTGGCAGGAAATACTCAGCTTGTAAAGTGGGTATAATCACAGATCACAAAGTCACCAGGGCTGGAAAAGCCCTCTGAGACCATCAGGTCCAGCCTATGACCAACACCCCCACATCTCCAGACCAGGGCACCAAGTGCCACCTCCAGCCTGTCCTTGGACACCTCCAGGGATGGTGCCTCCACCACTTCCCTGGGCAGTCCATCCCAGTGTCTGATCGCCCTTTCCATGAGGAAGTGCTTCCTGATATCCCACCTAAACCTCCCTGGAGCAGCTTCAGGCCAGGCCCTCTCATCCTGTCACTGGTTGCCTGGGAGAAGAGCCCAGACCCCCCTGACCACAACCTCCCATCAGGTGGTTGTAGAGAGTGAGAAGGTCCCCCCTGAGCCTCCTCTTGTCCAGGCTGAACAAGCCCAGCTCCCTCAGCCTCTCCCTGTAAGACTTTCCCTCTGGTCCCTTCACCAGCCTCGTTGCTCTCCTAATGGAAATCTTACTCATAAAACTGGAGTTCTGCAAGAAGGATGCAGTCTTGGAGCAGTATTCCTTCATTGCTCTGCCTGAAAACACACCAGGCAGGTATAAAGGCATTTTAGAAGAGTTTTGCCAGAAGCAGGGCTGTGTTGTGTACAGGTGCACCCCACTGCAGGGTGCCCTGGCCAGTCTGTGGTTAAACAAGGCAAGAACTGCAGCAGCCCACCTGAAATGAAAGGGTCACAGCCAGTTGTTTCTAGTGCATTTAAACAACAGTAACCACACACACAGAGACACAAAACCAAAACGGCAAAAGAAAAACAAACAAACCCCCACAAACAAACAAAAAGAGGAAACAAACCAACAAACACAACCCCTGCTGTTTCTTGGACTGACTGGTTTTATTCCTGAATGAGGCACCACAAACTCCACCAAGTACAACCAAAATACTGGTGAGGCTTGGTGAGGGTTGCAAGGAAAAGAGGGTGAGGCAGCTTGCAGAGGAGCAGCCAACCTGCTGGTCCTGCTCTCCTCCCTGGCTGCCTTTGGCACGAGAACACACCAGAAAAAGAAGGAAAAAATATTCCCCGAGCTCAGCCAGTGCCAGGGGAAAAGACAGTGGGCACAGCTGTGCTTCCAAGGGTGCAGCTCTGTCTGCACCACAGTGCCTGCCTCTGCTGGGCTAACACAGGGTTAATACCAGGCTAACACAGGGTTAACACTTGGCTGCTACTGGGGTAACATCAGGTTAATACCGAGCTAACACAGGGTTAATGCTGGGCTAATACCAGGCTAACACTGGGTTAGTAGTAGGCTAAGACTGGGCAAACACCATGCTAACATAGGGGTAACACTCTGCTAACACCTGGTTAATACCAAGGCAAACACCAGCTTAACACTCAGCTAATACTGGGCTAACACCAGGTTAGTAGTGGCCTCATGCCAGGTTAACACAGGGCTAACACAGGGCTGATACTGGGCTAATTAATACTGGGCTAATGCCCAGCTTAGCTGATTAATACCAGGCTACTTAATACTGAACTACCAGTGGGGTAATGCCAGGCTAAGGCTGGGGGTGCTGGGCTGCAGCATCCCTTGTGGGTCATTCCCTGTGGATCATCCCTCATGGATCATCCCCTGTCAATCATCCCTTGTGGATCATCCCTTGTGGATCATTCCCTTTGGATCATCCCTGGGTCACCTCGGGCTCCATGCCTGGTGTGGAGGGGATTTTTTTCCTCTTTCCCCATAAAGGAGGGAAAGGAGTCAGAGCCAGGGTTGCAGCAATTAATTACTAGGGCTCATCAGCCCAGCTGGATCCTTTCCCTGCTCCCAAGCCTTGGCTGCTCCCAGCAGGTGGCACTTGGCTGCGGGGTCCCTCGGGAAAAGGCAGAGCAGAAAACCTCTGGAGAAAACATTAGCAAAAAAACCAACAACCAACAAACAACAGCAGAAAATCAACATGAAGTGTGTGTGGGAATAACCTTTCCTCTTTCATGGCTGGGAAGTTTTTGGTCCCACTGGTAGGTGCTGTGGTGGTAGCTCAGGGTTCTGCTGCGGCACCCAGGGCGGGGGGTTCTGTGGGATTTTGTGTCTTGTGTGAGTGGAGGGTTTTAACATGGTCATCAGCCTGGAAAAAAATGAACAAACCAACAAAAGAAAACAGGAGCAATGCAAACTGGTCATAGTTTCACCTTGGAGGGTGATGGAGAGTGATGGAGAGTGAGCTTTCCAAGGAGCTCTGAGAGCACAGGCAGAGAAACTACCAGTTCTCTGTGCTTTGGAGAGGCAGGTGCTGCTTGTCAGCTCAGCCATCTTCCTGATCCATGCTTGACATCCATGGCTGCTCAAAGAAAGGGAGGAGAAAGCAGGCCTTTCATTCTTCCACTCTTTCATTCTGTCATTCCTCTGGGCCCAGCTGTGGAGGGAGGGGGGGTCCAGGTGGTACCAAGGCGGGGGCTGAGGTGGTGATGAGGAGGTGGCATCAGGTGAAAACCACCCTGGGGGTTTGTTGCCCTTCCCTCATGCTGGGTCCTGCCTCAAGTTCAGAGGATCTTTTGGACACTTTTAAGTCTCAGCTGGACAAGGTGCTGGGCCCGTGACTGTGCCAATAAAGGTTGGACCAGCTGCTCCTCAAGGTCCCTTCCAACCTGGTATTCTGTGATTCTCTGATGCTGTGACTGCACTAGGAAGCAAACTGCAGCTTTTGGGCTTTCACTGCCTTCTGGGCTGCTCCAGGCTGAAGCCTCTTGTGTTGTGCTCCTGCTTTGCAGGTGCACGTTCACTTCATGGAAGGGAAGGGATAGACCTGCAGGAACAGGGTCTATCACAGGTCCTTTGTGACGAGGAGCCCTTAACTGCCCCTTCTTCTGCCACCACGCGTGTCACACACCCAGCAGCACTTCACCAGGGCACGTTGCCTCAAGGGGTTTGTTTTGTTTTTTTTTTTAGTTCTGGAGGACTTCTGATGTGACAGAGCAGCTCTTCCTCTGCAGCTGGTTGCAGATAAGCACGCAAGACCTGGCTGAGATGGAGCAGTTGGCTCCTGATTGCTTACGCCAGTGAGGGCACGTGGGGTCCAGAGTCGTGCTGACAGTCTGAGCTACATCTGGGGTGCCTGGATAAGCTGCACGTGCAAAATCCAGGCTGGCTGTAGAAATGAGCAGGAGGTTTAGGTGCTGAGTGTTACTTTTAACACTGGTCTGGACACACTGGAGAGTGTCTGTGTGGATGTACGTAGATACAGGTGTGTGCATGTGCATGTACATGGATATGCAGCTTCTTAGAGTTTGTCTTCATGACAGTTTTTTCTAATAACAGGCTTCTGCCTTTTAAGATTTTGGCCAATTTGGAAAGTTTACAGGCAGAGTCAGCAAAAAGGTGACAGTAGAAATGTGTGGATTTCCTGCTCTGGGTCTTGTGGCTGGTTTCCTACACACTGTACTTATTTTCTAACAAAAATGCTTATTTGTGCATTTTTTTATGAGTGCCCTGTTGGATGGCCCTGCCTCTGACAGTGACATTTCACTTTCTAGCTAAGTCTGGGTGGAGGTTCCTGAGAAATGGGACAGCAGGGGGTCAGTCCTTACAGGTAACACTCAGCCTTGAGGATGCTGCACCCCTGTTGACACCTGCCTGCTGCTCTAAGGGCTCCTCAGGAAGCTGCCATTGCTGGTCCCCAGCAAACACCTGCTGCAGGAGCAGGGCTCACTGTGGCATCTCACAGAACCACAGGATTTTTTGAGTTGGAAAGGACCCTGAAGATGATCAAGTTCCACCCCCCTGCACAGGCAGGGACACCTCCCACCAGCCCAGGCTGCTCCAAGCCCCATCCAACCTGCCCTTGGACACCTCCAGGGATGGGGCAGCCACAGCTTCTCTGGGCAACCTGTTCCAGTGTCTCACTGCCTTCACACTGAAGAATTTCTGCTTGATCTCTAACCTAAATCTCTCCTATTTCACCTTAAAACCGTTCCCCCTCCTCCTCTCTCTGCAAGCCCCTGTAAAAGCCCCTCCCCAGCTTTCCTGTAGCCCCTTCAGGCACTGGAAGGTCTCTATGAGGTCCCCCCAGAGTACTCTCTGTTTCAGGATGAACACCCCCAACTCCCTCATCCTGTCCTCATCAGAGAGCTGCTCCAGCCCTCGTGGCACGGGCTGGAGGGGAGGCAGGAGGAGCCTGGAGCCCTCCTGTTATCAGGCCAGCCCCAGCACTTCCCTGCTACTTATCAGGCCCAGCAGAACCTCCTCAGCAGGCTGCACCTCCCGGGGCTGCGACACAGGGGGGACACGTATCAGGTGCCACCAGCACCACCAGGACAGGCCATGCTGGACCTCCTCATCCTGGGCCTCCACTTCTTCATCTGCTTCCTCATCTTCCTCGCCATCTGGCGCGGACCTCGGGTAAGGGGCAGCTCCTGGTGGGTCTGCATCCCCCTCCCTGCACCCGCAGCCCCGGGGCCTCCACCAGCCTTTCTTTTCAGCCTGAACTGTCAGAGGGAGGGAGGGCAGTGAAGTTGGGCTGGAAACTGGGAGGGAAACATCACGGGAAGGCAGTTTTTGGGGTAAAAACTGCATCGTTCCTTGGCTGGGAGAGGAAGAGGTTGTTGGACGTTGGAAATAGCCAAGAGGAGGAAGGGAAAGCCAGGCAAAATTTGGTTAAAAGGCCAGGCAGAATACAGCTTCCCAATAAGCAATGGGATTTTTTTCCCCTTGTGCAGATGATATTTCAGTTTCACCAGCTTCCATCCGTTGGCATTTCTAGCCATAATATTATTTAAGGGCTATGGGATTGAAAAGTGCTGCTGTTTTCCCACTGCATATTTGGCAAGTAGTGCCCTGGTGTGTTTTTGCACAGGGCTGCTGGTGGTTAAACGTGCAGAGTAAGGGGATAGTGATTTAGGATTTATCTTGCCCCAGGTATCAGGTTTGCAGCAGCTGGTTTTCCCAGTCCCGGTTCCGTTGGTGAACGCGCCGGCCAAACATTATCACCAAACTCCTGCACTTTGCCTTGTGTGCGTGTTGATAGCCTCATCCTGAAGCTTCTGCTCCTTCCCCCTTGCTTGTTAGATACTTCCACATGTGAAAATCCCAACAGAAACTGCTTTGCCAATGGCTTTCTGAATTGTTTTTACGATTATCTCAAGGATGCGGATTTGCGCAGCTCAAGCAGAGGAGCAGCCGACACGGGGCCGGATGGCCTGATATTAATTGGCCAAGAAGATGACATAAAGAAGTCCCAAAGACTGACAGCCAAAGTCAACGGCAGAGAAATAGTTGTTTTCTACCACGAAGGGAAATTTCACGCTCTGGACTCTCGCTGCTACCGTAAGAGATTTGCACATATGATCATAATGTTGCCATCATTAAGCTTAAAAGCTGCCACATAAATTAACACTCTGTTCTACCACGTTTCAGATGAAGGAGGCCCCTTGTGTCTTGGAGAAATAGAGGTATGTATCAAAATAAAAACACTGTAAGTGCATAGGCTTGTTTGAAATTTTCCGTGCTTAGTGTTTTTATCTGAACATGCTGTCGAAAAAGGGATCCACACCCTGAACAACACACAGTTATACAGCCAAGTCACCAGGCATGTCCTTTGGCCTGGAGGGTCTTCCAGGAGAAGAACCAGGAGCTGATGACTTGCAATTGTTTCTCCTTTTGCAGGACATCAATGGCCAAGCATGTGTTGTTTGTCCTTGGCATAACTATGTAATTACCCTGGAAACAGGAGAAGGATTATATGAAGGAATAAACCCTTCGGAGCCATCACCAACCCCGAAGTGGCAATCAAAAGGAGTCAAACAAAGGACTCACAAAGTCACAATAGACAATGGGAACGTTTATGTCAGTCCTCCAGATTTGTCTGTAAGCTTTGACTCCGATTATTTCGCAGATAAGTACAAAAACAGTGGTGCTTCAGCCATGGGGAAACAAAGCAGCTCATGAGCAGCACGGGAAGTTGTGCCCAGAAAGCAGAATCCCAGTGAATGCCACAAGGAAGAACCACTGGCATGAAACTAAAGAGCACTGTGGCCACAAAGATTGGCTCCAGGCTAAATCCTGGTGTTAATGTGGTGTTGAAGCATTGAAAGACATAGACTTGAGTAAGATAAGAAGCTCTGCATTGTCAGAAATGTGACAGATCTTGTGCCAATTGTTTTTTTGCACTTGCATTTCTAAAACACTTACCTGCAGCAGAGTGCTTCATCCTACTTGATACTTTAGAAATCCTGTTTTGCAAGAACTGTTTTAGATGGGGATATAGAATATTACTGCTCACCAAACATGACATAGGTTAAGTTAAATAGTGGGGTATAAAGGTTATGTTTTATATACTTAACAGTTTATAATGCCTTCAGGATAAATAACATGGAATTTTTTAGCTGTTTAGATATGTAAGCAATCTCTGGATGCTTATTAAGTGCCACAAAGATAAGTGCAAAACTTCATCATGTTTCAGTGATCTTCTTCATGTCTATTTGTGTATTACTACTATGATTCCATAGAAGTATTAATTTTCCTCCTCCTCATTGAGCTACTTATGGTAATTCATCACATCATGGGACAAGCATTTGTTATGTATGGCTTGCTCCTCCTGATTCTGTTGGATAAGAAAGTATAAAGGTATAAAAAACTGATACATAAAGCAGTGGTTCTTGCTTGTTTTCATTTATTGTAAGCAAATGTTTATACTCTCCTTTGGAAAAAAGCACCTGCTTTTAGCTTAGAACCAAAAGTTGTGTTTCTTTGTGTGAATTCACTGTGTAGTATCAGTTTTGCTGAGACAAACCCCCTGGGAAAGTTTCTCCTGCCCAACCTGTGGAGTCCAGAGTGCATAGGCACTGAGCAAATGCTCAGCGTCCTCTTGGACAGTTGCAGTGCTTCAGGGTGTGTTTTTGGGTGATTTGTCAGCCTTTTGCAGAGTTTGGTCATAATGAGGCTCTGTTTGAGGTTGCCTGGTCAGTGGGTTTCTCTCCTACATGCAGCAGGCTGTCTGGCCTTGCATGTCTGTGGGAGGTCAGAGGGTCTGTGTCAGCACCACTGCTCACAGGCATGCACTTAAAAGTGGTGGGGAGGTATCAGAAGAAAACACCTGTGCCTGATGGATCAGAGAGTCATGGAATCATGGAATGTTTTGTGTTGAAAGGGATCCTAAAGATCACCTAGATCCACCCCCTGCATGGGCAGGGACACCTCCCACCATTCCAGGCTGCTCCAAGCCCCATCCAACCTGCCCTTCAACACCCCCAGGGATGGGGCAGCCACAGCTTCTCTGGGCAACCTGGGCCAGGGTCTCAGCAAATAATTTGTCCCTCAGGTCTCATCTCAATCTCCCCTCCTCCAGTTTTAACCCCTTCCCCCTTGTCCCCTCCCTGCCCTTATCCAAATTCCCTCCCCATCTTTCCTGGTGCAACTTCACCTGGGGACCCTTCACAGGCTCCTGGTGTTTAACATAAAACAGGCCCCCACCGTGTCATCCCTCTGCCTGAGGAGCCACTCAAAGGTTTGTGAAGAATGAATCCTGCTCATGGAATCACTGCCAAGGCCTCTCACACATCTCCCCCCTCCTTCCCATCCAGGGAGATGGAACAGGGCAGGGTGGAGGGCAGGGTGCCCAACAGCCAGCAGAGCTCAGATGCTGATGTCCAAGGGGAGGGACTGAGTTTCCAGAAGAAGCAGGTCTTGCCCTTTGTGAGATCTTTCTGGGTGAAGTGGCACTTGGCAGGTCCATGTCTGAGAACCAACCCCAGCTGTGTCCTGTCCTGCTGGACACGTGTGACTCTCACCTGCTGAGATGAGACCTTGGCACAACACTCTGTGGTGCCTGGGAATGGTTCCTGGTCACAGGCTTCTTTTTATTTGCATTAAGAGGAGCTAAGGGACATGGCTACGTGTCCCTTACACACACATCTTACACACCCTTTCTCTGTAAATAAAGCTCTAGCTCCAGGCTGTAGCACATAGTGGGTGGGAGATGAAGTGTCTGCAAGATCATGTCTTCATTCAGATGTCCATCCTTTTCAGAGCTTGATAATCCTGGTTCCAACACAGAAACCTCAGGGAGCAGCTCTGCTCTGGAGCCAGGCTGGGAGAGTTGGGGTGTTGAGCCTGGAGAAGAGAAGGCTCCAGGGAGACCTGAGAGCAGCTTCCAGTGCCTGAAGGGGCTCCAGGAAAGCTGGGGAGGGGCTTGGGACAAGGGCAGGGAGGGATGGGAGCAGGGGGAAGGGTTTCCAGCTGGCAGAGGGAGCTGGAGCTGAGATGGGAGGGAGAAATTCTGTGCTGTGAGGGTGGGGAGAGCCTGGCCCAGGTTGCCCAGGGAAGCTGTGGCTGCCCCATCCCTGGGGGTGTTGAAGGGCAGGTTGGATGGGGCTTGGAGCAGCCTGGGCTGGTGGGAGGTGTCCCTGCCATGCAGGGGTGGGACTGGGTGATCTTTGAGGTTACTTCCAAACCAAACTATTGTATGATTCTGTGATTCTAATTCAGGGTATTGCAGCAGCTGAAAATCAGTTCTATTTTTCATGGGGACATGACCCAACAATACTTTCTGATGTGGTACCTTCATCTGATCTTAGTGAGAAAAAAACAAGTTCTGTACCTCACAGGACCAACCTGTGGGCTCTGCAGGAGCAGGGTGGGTGGTTTGAGGGTGGTTTGGGTGGTTTGAGGCACCTCTCCCTGCAGAATTCACGTGCGGGGCCGCTCGGTCTTAAGCGCTTATCCAGGGGATCATGAAGTGGATTAAAGCAGCCCAGGACTTTCAAAACACACTGAACCTGCTGCCATCCCTGCCCCCAAACTGCAGCAGTGTGCCTGGCTGAGGTGGTCCCGTGCACCCCGAGGGACCCCCAGGCAGCAGAGACCCCTGGGGAGGTTTTATCGGCGCGTCCGGCCGGGTTGTCCCAGAAGGGACTTTTCCCACCCCTCTGTGGGGGGACACACCTGCCCTGCCCTGTCCCTGACCTTGTCCTTGTTCCATGCCCAGGTCTCCCTGCAGCTCAGCAGGCCCAGACAACAAGCCCCAGAGCAGAAGCAGGGCAGGTGGGCTGGGGATGGTGGTCTCTGCGTGACACGATGGTCCGTGCCCACCCTGGGGGTGAGGGCTTTAACCTTCTGACACTGCAGCATGAATTTGTACAAACTGCTTGTTTTGTTCAGGTTCTTGTTGGTTTGGTGGTGGTGTTGGTTGTTTTTTTTTAACCTCTCACCTGCCTTCTAATGCCATTAATAACCCAATGAGATCAGAGTGGCTTGGTGCTGCAGCTACACCTGGGGATACTTCCCACTGCTGAGCTGTGTCTCCTGCTGCAGCACTTTATGATGCTCCAGCCCTTCCCTGCAGCAGCCTGGGGCAGGTAAGCAGGAGATCCCCTCCTGCATCACCAGTAAGGTTGGAGGGCTGTCCTTCCCCTGGACTCCTGCAGCACCAGAGCTGGCTCCTGGCAGTCCACAGCTCACCCCCCAGCTGCTGGCATCCTAACACAGCTCAGCAGCTGCTTCCACAGCTCAGTTCTGCTACAAGCTGGATCTGGTTTTGATTCTTAAAGTGCCACTTTTCTCTCTCTGTCTCCTCCCATCAAATAGTTTTCCATAATTTTTACTCAACATTGGACTAATGTCACACTGCAGTAACACCAGGGAAAAAAAATGGTAGATGTTAATGAGTGGCCAGGAGCACAAAACATTTTTAAGAGCTTTCCTCAGAAACTCAGATAAGAAACTACATAACTGGGTCTGGGGTCTGGTGAGATGCTGGTGTCTGTGACAGAGAATGAGACCAAGGGACACGTGGATGAACACAGTCTGTTGGGAAGGTGTTGGAGGGGGTCCAGCTAAGTCCAGCATCACTGGCATTTGGAGGAAGGGCAGCAATTATGCCAATAAAAGAGGTCGTGTGGGCATAATAATCCTGTTGCATTTTCCAAAAGCCTTTGAGAAGCTTTTTGTAAAGCTTATTAAACCCTGCAAAGAAAACAAGGTGCCACAAGATTGGACAAGAGGTTGGTTTTGGGGTTTGAAAGCTGGTGTAAGAAGAGGAAGTGAAGAACAGGGCTTGGCAGTCGCTCTCCAGGAGGGAATTCGTGGAGTCAGGGGCTCATTCAGGCTGGAAGGGATGTCTGGAGGTCACCTAACCAGCCTCCCCTCCAAGCATCCCTAACGAGCTCAGGCTGTGCAGGGACCTTCCCAGCGACGCCTTGAACACCCCCAGGGTGGTGATTCCACAGCTCTCCACAAATTCCACGGGGATACGTGCTGGTTTTCCTTGATGCCCTCACCAGTGACCTCTGGAAAGCAGCCAGCAGTGAAATCTCTGGGGCTGAAGGGATGAGGTGGCCCAGAGCACCTCTGAAACTGGGTCAACATCAAGACATGGTTCTGGCAGAGCTGTACTGGGAAATATTGGTGCCCCTGAGCACTGTTCTCCTCCTGTCCTCCTCACAGGCAGGTTTTGTTGGTTAGGATGTGGCAGATGCCTGCAGCAACAGAGCAACCCCTTGTGTTGGATGGTGCTTTGTCTGTGCAGGTCTTGCAGCAGCAGATCAGCTCCAGCAAAGCCCAAGCCTGGCACAGGTTGTGTTTTGTTCCATCAGGAGCAAAAAAAAATACTGCTTTCACCTGGAGCCACCTTCTATCTTTAAAAAAAAAACCCCAAACAACCACATGGAGCAAAGTGTCCTCTCGTGGACCTGAAGCTCCTGGTACCACCATCAGTGCCAGCTCAGCTAACAAGTTGGCTGGGCAACAACTTGGAATTCAATCCCTTCACTCTCCTGGAATAGTGTTTGTCACAGCTGAGCCAGTGCAAGTAAGGGCACAGCTTCCACAAGGGGGAAAAGAAACAATTCCTCCTCCTGGCCTTGGCTCCTCGGAAAACATCACCCCCCTCCTGCCAGGGAAGGCTGGCTGCTGGATTTCCCACTGCTGTGCCTGAAGAGCTTCCACAGGAG